GCCTTACCTTAACTCCGTATTATAGCGAAGGTCTAGCGTTCATTGGTCAAGGGTTGATGTGAGTTCGGTAATGTCGTGGGACGTTAGCTTGTTGTGTTGCATGCTCACATTGGCTGAGCTGAGATCCGGTAATCGAATCACGAGGTTGGTTTCGTTCTGGGAGATTAGCAGAGTGCATTTGTGGCAATGTTGGACTATCGTACGGTGACTTACTGCGTTCTTTTTTTTTTTTTTTTCGTTGTTGTTGCTGTTGCACGGTATTTGCGGGATTGGAGGGCTATGGATCGGTTGAGGGTATTACGTCCTTGGAGGGGGTTTGGGGTGGTGGTGGTGTGGGGTGTCTTTGGTTGAGATGTCGAGTGATGGTTTGTGATGGAGTGTGAGGTAAGTGAAAAATGGAGAACGGGTCGAGATGGAATACCGGTAGAGGGGTATACTAGGATAGTCTGGGTGGAATAGTTTAGGGGGAAAGGGAATTGACGCTGAGGTGATTTGAACAAATTTCACACCAATTTCGTGGGAAGTCAGTGCTGTAGCACGGATCTGTTCCATACGTAGACATAAGGTCTAGGTAGCCCCTCCATTTTCAGGGAATTGGTCGTCATCATCTTCGACACCATTACGATGAGTCCGCTAATCGTTCTCGCACATCCCGTAATACCTGAGAAACCGTCGTGTTCATCTTCAAAGTTTGTCCCCTCTCTCATCCTCTCTGTTTTTTTGCCCTGTTCTTATTCTTCCCATCCATTCTCCCAGTTTTTGCTTCAATGGCGGTGCTTTATCCTCCTATTGTAAGCTCATATAGCCAACTGGTTCGTTTAATTTCATTTCCCCAGACCTGGGGGGCGTTGATACATGAGCAGCTCGAGAGAGCCTGTCGAACTTTGTATCGGAGGATCGATGGCTAACCCGGGTATAATCTAAGAGTTATCGCGGGCCATCGAACGTCTTGAAGCTGCTTCTGAAGGTATTCGGATGGAATATTTCAGCTTCTTTGGCACACAATTTATTACCGAAATTCGTTATATCTCACACAAGATCCACAAGCGATGGATCCAATGTTTATTGTAATCACAAGCTCCTGGCTTCTGGTCTAGATCACCCATGGTAAGTTCGTGCCTTTCCCGACTCTTTTAGATGCGATGTATCCCGGGTTCTGGCACCATTACTGTGTGAAGGTACGGTTCAGTTAGAGAAAGCAAGAATGCTGATATTTTCAGGAAGGGAGACTGCCGAATGTATCTCCCATGGTGAAAACAGCAAACAAAACTCTTCAACTTGAAAGAATGCTCTAGCAAGGGGGCTAGAAAAGATAGCAATATAGACAAGGCAAGGCCGACCATGCCTTCGAAGTATGAGGTAGTATGGATTCACAATGCTTTCAGCACTTCCGAAAGTTGCTCTTACACTGCCTCAAAACTTTTTACAAATGGGATCACTGAGGTTCCGGCAATTATGGGCGTAAAGAGCTGAAATAAGTCATTCCTTCCACGGGAAATCGGAATATAATGGCTCGATGGAACAAGCCTATAGTGTCGGCAGAAGGCCACCTGGGCCGTCGGGGAATATGCTGGTTGTGGGCCTTATGTGAAGAAAAAACGGACAGTTGCTGCTAGTTACTCATCTAACTAGAAGTCCGAATGGAAAACTTATTGCTTCTGATTGTGGGTTTCCTGGATAGGGCAACGATGTGAATGGCGAGGGACGGAGGTGAGCTCAACTAGTCTGAGGAGAGTTTACTGCGGGCTATATCCTACTGAGGCACGTTTACCCGTTGGAGTGTCAATGCACAGCTGTGCTGATTTCCCTATCTAATACATAAATCGTGACAGGAGAGATTGGGGCTAACTTAGGGATAAACCAAACAAATAACCCAACTGTCTGCTTGCTCTGTGGGGGGAGATTTGGTGGGCCTGTCTTGGATGAGAGTGGGCGAGACAATAAAGTTTGGCCGAAAGACATGGGAAAGTGTCTCGGGGATAGGTGTTGAAATACCGTAGCACTTTCCAGTAGGTGCAACTGCCTAGGGATACGTTTTCGTACACCTTACCGCCGGAGCCCGGTGCCCGAGTATCTGTGTCATGCACGGAAACATATCCCTAGGCACTTGTACCCTCCCTGGTACCTCCGTTCTGGGGCATGATGTTTCCTGGAACTTGCTCGAACTTGCCATCGTCACTTGCCTTTTGATAGGAGTGCTTGTTGCTTTGATCTATTGTTTTACTGCTATGTTGTGTCGAAATTTCTCTGTATGAGTATGGTGTCTGCTGGTCCTTCCGTGAAAATGCGGTCGAGCTCTTCACTCTCTTCCTTCATATTATTCTAGTAATCTTCCCAACAACGGGAGGAAGCACTGAAGCGAGTGATTCCACATGATTTTGAATAATTGTTGATGACGAAATAGGGGGCCTGTTACCGATAGCTGGCCGCCAATATTTATCAAGAGTGGGTCGTGTGAAACGATGGTCTGACGATCAAACTCGGTGGAACTCGGGCGCCGCGCCGCTCGAGTTTGATACCGAGACGGGTTCATCAGGCTAACTATGATACCGTTCCGTGCTGTTCCCCCGAGTGTCACCCCTCATCACACTCTTTCACAGTGTTCCAAACAGTTGTACTTGAGGACGGGGGGGGTCACGGTGCCGGGGACTGGCGGTAAGCGGCGTGTTGATCTCTACAGTACATATCATGCCATTGTTATAACGCGGCATCGTAGGAGCTGTTTTTGCACTTTTTGATGTAGAAGGCCGAACTCAGAATCAGGACTACCGTCAGCATCTCACTCGGATTTCAATGCCCCCCCCTTTTTGCCAATGCTTGCGTGGGGCGGGATGCTGCTATCTTTGGTAGACGCGGTAACCGGGGGAGAGAGATCAAAGGGGGTCAGCAAAAGGAATTTTCATTAACTTATTCCATTTGAGACACAATGCACGCCGTTCGCGCACTGTAGGGAAGAATACTTGTACTGGCACACAAACGCGGAGGCGGATAGCTGCGACAATGCTGATTGGTTCAGTTTGGGGTATGAAGTCCATCGGGGTGCCAAGAAGCGGAAGTGAATTACCGCGATTGGAAGTTTTATTGGGGGGGAATTTATTGAGGCTCTTGGATAAGGTTAACCCCTGACCCTAAGCGAGGACTGCAAGGGGGATCGAAGTCGAAACAGTTTGAAAACCCGAAGCTTGAACAGGATGCCGGTGAGGCCTGGGTATGATACCGGTACTGAGTTGTAGGAAGAGTCAAAAGAAAGTAGAGTCGACGAGTTGAAGGTTAGGCGGGGGTAAGATTGTCATGAGGTAAGATGAGAAAATGTGGTAGATGTGCTTGTAGGGATGAAGGGGTCATTCTCTGATGGGAGTTTCTGCGTGTGATGCGTCTCTGTCCGGGTACTTGTACCGTGGGCAGCACGGGACTGGGGAGTGGGAACTGGCCTCTGGCTGGCCACCCTCCTCTGGTGGGGGGAGGAGGGTCATTGGCCAACCAGAATTAAGCGAGAGTCCCAAATTCCCTAACTATTTCCACCGGAACCAGACCAGATCTGGTTGGCGCACGGTCCGCCTTAGCCATGAGATTCATTGTCTTTCCCGGGTGCATTTCTCAAATTTTCTACTCGGTTTGTATCTTCTGATCCTACTTTCGGTGGTTTGTTGTTCTATTTTTTATGTCTCGCATTGCATTCTTCCTCTCCCTCTCTCTCCCGTGACTTTCTCTGTTGACGATTCCCTCTCTCCCTCTCCGCTTTCAGAGTTATCAAGTCTTCAAGGTAGCGACATTCTTGCTCTCTTACTCACTCACTCGGGTCACTCCCTTCTCTTAGTGATGATATTTTGAGGTTTCGAACTTGGATTTTGCCCCTCGTTCTGCGAACGCACGCGCGCGCACCGTTCAAGGGCTGTTTTGCTGGGACTAACTTTATCCTTGGGAGCACAGCACCGGTAGCTTTGAAAGTTGGAAGGGGGGGGTGTTTCCTCTTTTTATTTTTATTTTTATTTTATTTTTTTGGTGTCGTTACTCTCTACTTTTGCTACAGTACTCGTACAGTAGTCTACTGCTGCCTCGTTGTGTTCTCCCTTTCCGCACCCGCACATTCATTCACTCTCCCCCTCCCTCTCTCGCCGCTCTCTATGCGCTCGCCACAGTAATTGTCATTCCGGCCGTCCACTCCCTGGTCTCGTTGTTTCGCTCCGCCGATTTCCTGCCTGATTCATTGCCATCAATTATCATCATAATCAATCTTGCTTCTCGCCTGCCTGTCACTTTTTACAACCCGGCTGTATGGCCCTGCCTACAAAGAGTTTCCACGTAGAAGGATTTCTTTACTTACGTTTTACCCTAACAGATCATTCACTCCCTTCAACTCACAATCTCTCACACCACAAAAATATACACGCACGATTCACGGCTTTCACTCCACTAATACATACCCACAACCCCTACCTTGCCTACCTTACATACTATCTCTATCCATACATCTTTCAGCGGGTGAACCACCATCGGGTGTGTGTGTGTGAGAGGGAAAAAAAAAAAAGAAGGGGAAAGAAAAGTGTTTTAAGTGTCGCTACTTCGTTGTCACAGATTCCCCACCTTAATAGTCGATAGTCAACATCTATTATCATTAAAAAAAAAAAAAAGATTATTACTTCTTTCTCTTCTCTTTCTCTTTTCCCCCCTCTCTTTTCCCCCTTCTTCCTATTATCCCCCCACACCCCCTTCACTCGCTTCAATTACCCACCCTGGGACGGAGGATTTGCATGGTACGACTAGTTGACAATAGCCTTACTGCTGACGCCTACTCCGCCAAAAACACCGATCCGTGCATGTCGCCTGCATACGAGACTATTTGGTTTTCCAACTCGATGAATAATTAGGCCATCTCCAATTTTCAGCCCATTTAACCCCTCTACCTCTGTTCGCACACTGGTTTCCATCGGAGAACAATAAATCTCTTTTTCAATTGATCAAAAATCCGGGGACAAACAGTCGGTGTTGAAGGAATAGTTATGGCAAGCTTTTTCACACCGACATCCAAGAACCCGGGCGGTATCCCTAACCTGAAACTCACCCCAACAAACTCCCCCGTCTTTCTTTCGTCTCGCAACAGTACCAGCATACGATCTACCAGCAAAGGACGTCAGAGTTCTTCCTCTGGGTCCTCTTCATCTTTCTCCACTTCGCCATTTTCCGACTGTGGACTCGCTTTGAAGCGCGTGATAGGATGCTCCAAAACTGCGTTCGATAGCCATCCTCCTTCTCGGTCGTTCGCATACACTGCGGGCGCTGCGGCTGTGGTTGTTCAGCTGGACGACGACCTGCAGATCACCCAAAGATTTTTTCGTGCTAGGCCAAACGCTCCCACCCTAACCTCGACTGTATCCTCGTATGCACCATCCACACCGGGTGGCTACTCGCAAGAGACGAGGAGTCGGACCGCGGCATCGTTAAGGGATGCTGGCATTGGAAACATATACTCAAACAATGCTTCGCCTTTCTCTGGCGAGGATTCGCCTAGCTCAAGAACATGGACTGCTAGGGAGCGGATTAAGGCTGCGACATGTCTATCCTTTAGCCCCGATGGAAAGTGGATAGCGGTTGGAGAAGTACGTTTTCTTTCTTTTTTATTTTTTCCCCCACATTTTCTCACTCGCAATGGATAATGATGGAATCGTGCTGAGATTTCGCTAGACTGGATACAACCCGAGGATTTTGATATTTTCGTTGTCGAAAGATGTTCCCAGCGATTTACCTGTCGCTGCAATGTCGGAACATACCTTTGGTGTTCGGAGTGTTGCATTTAGTCCCTGTTCAAAATATTTGGCTAGTATTGGCACGATGAATGAGTAAGATATTCCCAGTGATCATCATCAGGCTATGGTGCGCATGCTGATTTTCATGAAAGCGGGTTTGTCTACGTGTGGTCTTTAAGTGGTACTAGAGGCAGCCTTGTTCGCCTTCATTCTAGCAACAAGTGCACAAGTTTTGTCCGGCAGATAGCATGGATGGGCAAGAGCCTTGTAACGTTTGTATACCCCGCTTTCGAGGCTGCACCGCATTAATTGACATTTCACAGTGTTGGCACACGGCATGTGAAGATCTGGAAAACTGAAGACGAGGTTAGTCCAAGATTTAGAAAGTCACGTCATGAGTGGTCACTTATACGCAGACAGCAAAAACCCGTAAGCCCTGGGCCTAAGGTATTGCATGGACGGAACGCGTTGCTGGGTGCTATGTCAGATTCGACCATGAGTTGTGTTGTTGGGATCTCAGATGACAAGGCCTTAGTTTGTACGGAGAAGGGTGACATCTGCTTATTGGATGAGAGCGGTCTTCGATTTTCCAAGGTTGCTAGTGCTGAGTTTGGAGTTGGATGTATCACTGTTGATGCCGAATCGAAGTTTGCCTGGGTAGCGGGCAGACATGGCAACATTCGGTTTGTGTTCATTCTGGGTGCCCTAGAGTTGCGTGCTAATTATCTTTAGGGCGTTGGTATTGAAAGAGATAGTGCCCTCGACCCCGCCAGAATCGCCGTCATCATCGAGATCCAGTTCGCCGATCCTTCCCTATGGATGCCGACCGGCGCATGTACTTGCTATGGCCAGCATGCTTGGACATCTGTTTACCCTGGATTCCAATCATTCGTTGAAGATTATCAATATGTCTACCGTGGATGGTGTGCCGGTGCCTAATTCGATGATTCGTGAATTACCTGCGCACAAGGATGCATGTTTGGGCGTACGATTATTACCCGCCAACCATAGCTCTCACGGCCTTTTCTTCACTTGGTCTGCTGGTGGTGCTATTTTATTTTGGAGTTTGGAGGGTGCGCAGAAGGGTGAATTTCAAGTGGAACTTGAGCAGCCTATGGAGAGTGAGGATGATGTCCCGAACGAGTTGAAAGTTGTACGAGTATCGGATCGCGGTGATATCTTTGTCACCGGAGACAAGTATGGCGTGTTAAGGTATGGGTTCTGGGAAGACGCATCCTGACTGAGCTAACCGTTACCGCAGGATAATCGATGGCAAAAGCCATACCTGTCAGTATGTCGTAAAGGCGCACAGTGGAGAGATCATGGATATCGCGGTTCACCAGGCGACTATCGTTAGTTGTGCAAGAGATCGCACGGTACAAGTATTCACCAAGGCTGGGGATGGTTGGTCTTTAGCTCAAACGCTGGACGACCATACGTCCAGCGTATCAAGGGTTCTGTTGCTGGAAAATGGAAATAAACTTTTGTCTTGCTCAGCAGATCGGACCATAGTTATCAGGGAACTTTGTCGCCGAGAGGCGATCAACGGAACTGTTGCTATGGCGTACCTAGCGACTAAGACTTTAACGACTAAAGCATCGCCGGTACATATGACGCCTCTTTCAGATGCCACGTTAATTGTGTCGACAATGGATCGACAGATTCACAAATTTGATTTAAATGCGGGGAAAAGTGTTCATGGGTTTCGGTGTACAGATGAATCGGGTGATGCGGTTGTGATGGACGCTATAACGGTTGGAAAGGACAAGGGATACCCGAGATCTAGAATTCTTGCGGGTATATCGACAACGGATAAGAGTATACGCCTTTACGATTTAGCTGGAAATCTCATTGATAAAGAATGGGGACATACTGAGGGAGTCAGTGATGTTGCATTATTGGAGAGGGGCCCACGGAAAGGGGAAGAGACGGGTCAAACAATAGTTATCAGTACGGGCACAGACGGCACGATCATGATATGGGAATTTAATCCCAAAGCCCAGGAACTGGAACCCGCTACTAGCGCAGTTGTTGCTTGCCCAGACTCTGTGGATGGCGGTTCTGCCAAGAAAGAGATGACCGCGACAAAGCCGCCCCTACGAAGGGTACTGAGTCGGAGTGAGCTGATGGATTTTTCGCCCAAAACGGCTCCAGTGACGCCGAATCCTAGGCCTTTATCTGTCCATGTCCCATCCTCTCCTCCCCGAACGCTGAGACGGAAGACATCGGCTTACGGAATGAATCGATCTATAAGCTCGAAAGGCGGTCCAAGTGCACCTATGCCGCCGACACCTTCAACAACTACAACAGAAGACTCGGTGTCACCATCGACACTAGTATTTACACATACCACTACTGCTGCGCCGAACGCGGCGCCGGCTGTCTCAACGCCGCCTGGCCCAAGTACCGGACGAGAAAGCCGCAAGAGCACTACTAGACACCGCACACCAAGCCCGCCGGACCCGACCAAGAGTCAAAATCTGCCACCACCGCCGCAGCGGCGTGGAAGCTCCATGACGAGGCCTCGTGGGAAGAGCATAGGAAGTCCGAATGATCCTAGCAGTGGCAGTGGGAGCATGGGTGGATTAGCGGAAAGCCTCTCACGAAGTTTAAGAAGTTTCCGTAAGAAGATTGACTCACCTGGCTCCAAAGACGGTATAAGGCCAGAGGTACTCAAAGATCTGCAGCGGGAGTTGGCTCTAACGGCCAAGGAGCTAGGACTCTCGGAGAAAGGAGAGAGTAAGAGCCGGGGTAGGACCCACGGTTCTACTCGTGGCACATCTTCACGGGAAGACGGTAGATCAGAGATCATGGCGCAGCTGTTAGATCAGTATTCAGAGCGACTGGTATCGCTGGTTAGTGATAGACTAGAAAATGGGAAAGGCAAGCTTCCCAAGGATAGGAAAAAGCCGGTGGACACAACAGGCGAGGGTTGAATTCTCTTTTATTTTTTATTTCTCTTACACAGTTGTTCTCAGCAGGGCTTGCATCTTTTTTTCTTGGATTGCTTATCGCATCATATCTACTTTCTTTTAACAGGGTTTAGGTGACTTTCTTTATTTTTACTCCTTTCTTGGCACAGGCTTTCGTTTCTCTTTTCTTTACCGGGGGATTGGTGTTCATTTCCATTGATTAAAGAACTCTGCTTCCAGCTTTTCTTTACTTGACCGCCCTAATCACCTTCTTTTCAGTATCTAATGTACACTAGTTTCCTCGTGTTGTCGGCTTTGTTTTTGCTTGCATTGGGATGGCTTCTGCTTTTTTTCATTTTCATTTTTCTTTACCTTTTCTTGTGTCTTTTGGGCGGTGGGATTTGGTTCGGGTTTTCCTTCTGCTCTTTTTTCTTTCTGTCTTGTCTTTTCTCGTTTTTTATTAAATGCGGGTTGGCTTGGAGAGGATGTATAAAGTATTGTACTGTCTGGGAGTTTGGAGGTGCGGGTGGGTGAAATGGAAATGGATTCGAAGTTTAAAACATTAAAATGATTCCTCCCCCAAGACACTTGGACTGGTTCATGGGATGTGATTCGGTGTTTTGTAGTGGTCGAATGGTAACGTACGGTACATTACCATACTTTACCATACTGTATGGTATGGTAACTTACTGTAAACTTACCAGGCACTGTTAACCGACCATCATAGAAAAAGTAGCCCTCATGTGAATAGTCTGTTTCATGATTACTCTATCGGCTCTTCAGTTTTCTGGACATTTGTTAACTTTGTAAGTTGTGTTTTAAGCAGAAAGGGAAAAATACAATAACTGTTGAGAAAGAAATATTGCAAAATTGAAGAGACTGAGTTTACTGTCACGAACATAGCTTGGCACAGAAAGGGTTTTCACATGACTCATGATTATGAGTCATAGGTATGTTATTGTTTTATGCATATGACTCACTTGGGTCATATGACTTATTTTGTTATGATTTGTTATGTTTCACACATGACTTGATTATGAGTCATGAGATGTGCGCCTGGTGCGTATGCCTTGCAAGTGTGCCTTACAGGTATGCCTTGCGCATATGATTTATGTTTTGCACATGATCTTGCTATGAGGTTATAGGTTTCACGCATATGACTCAGTCGAGTCATATGACTTATTTATTGTGTTATGATTGGTTTATGAGTTTTCGCAGATGACCTTACTATGAGGTCATGGGTTTTGAGTATGTGACCACTTTGGTCACATGACTAGTTTGTTATGATTTGGTTTTGTACATGTGACTACTTTAGGTCACATAATTACATGTGGGAAGAACACTATATAAGGAGGCCGATGCGGCTGAGGAGGATAGGTTCTTCACGCTTTGTTCTAAGTACTTTTCCTACTTCTTGCATTCTGTGTCGGAAGTGAGCATAACCAATACTTTACCTTATTTTGCTCGCGATAAATACTTCATCTGCTGTTACTTGTTTGTGTTTTTCGTTTTGGGTGGTCGGTTAGAAGTAGTTGTTCTCGCTTAGAAGATACTTCAGTGTGAGATATCCGTGGCCTGGTCCCGGTAATCACTGAGTATAGTTTAGGCGAGGATGGCGTCTTCGACAGCCTCCTCCTCCATGGATTCTCCCCCTCCTTCGAGGATGCCGTCCCCTGTTTGGTTTGACTCCAACCCCTCCTCCTCGCTTGAGACAGCCCGTGCAGCCTTATCTCTTGCACCTGCTACTGAGGCTGGCCGTGGCCTCATCCCCACAACCATATGGTCATATGTTGCGCCCAAAGGGAACTTTGGTTTCCTACAGTTTCACCACTACCATGGGTGTCAGAACGCAGTTAACCCGCAATTTGATGATTTGGTTCGGCAAACGGTTGCTGGCGCGACCGTTGCCACGATGAAAGAAGTGGAGGTTTTGGTGAGAGGTTTCCTAATCAGGAGAGGCTGTTCAGCCACATGTGGCTTGAACAAAGAAACTACCACAGGACTCTTTGTTCGGTTCAACTCGGACCATGGCTCGGAATATTCTGCAGCCCCCGTACCTTCCCCTCCCAAAGACTTTCGGGCTGTAGTCCCTGAATCCTCCGTCCCCCCTGCCAAGGACAACTCGGCTGCCACCACAGTTGAGATCAGCTCTTAGTCCTCTACTCCTCCCCTCGCTAGGGCTGTCCAAAGCAAGATGCCCAGCTTCCTCCGCCAGGCCCACAATACTGGGACCGGCTCTCCGACTCCCTCCTTCCTGGCAGGAATGTCTTCAGGCGAAAGGGCTCTTTACGAAACCCCGAAGTTCAAGCTGGACAACCCTGATGATGAGGACTATAACCCCCCTGCCTCTGGAACACGCTGCCGGACACGGTCGGCATCTCCCGCTAAGCGATCTGCTGCTCCTCTCCTTGGTCCCCAATTTTTGAGGGCTATCAATGTCGATGAGGGACGGAAAAAACAGATTGCGCCCGCTCTTTCTAGCCTACCCCTAGGTGTTCACCAGAGGCGCCTGGCCATCCCTCCGCCTGTGGTGCTTCCATCGACAATTGAAGCCACACCCCCTTCTCCATCCCCGCTAATGACTGAGGATGTCCTGCCCACCTATGGAGTGATGGCTAGAGACACCCCTATAGGCCTAGGTGAGGGACGTAAATCGGAAGTAACTGGTTTGGGCGATAGCATACACACTTCTTCACTAGCTATGGGTTCATCACCTCCGCCTATTATTGAACGATAGGAGTCACCTCCCAAAGGCCAACTGGAGGGCCCCTTAGAAGCCGCCAGTGGCGAGTCAACCCCATTGGAAGTTCAGCTTCCAGAAACCCAACCAGAGGATGCCGACACTATAGTGGCCCAGGCAGACTCGATCATGGCATGTGTCTGTGAGATGCTGGATGCTGGTAGGACTCCCTCACCTGGACCCCGCTCAGGTAGTGTAATCGGGTCTATGTTGGAAGGCTTGGAGGACATCCGGTCTGGCAATACTCAGCCTCTCCTCTCCTCAGAGTCTGGGTCGATTGAAGACGACACAGTACAGGACGTACAAACTTGGATGAACAGTGGCCCCACCTTTGACGATGAAGGTCCAAGAAACGGGATAAACTACTGGAGTCGAGTTCATGTCTTGAAATGAGCAGTTAAAGCACTGACCAACATTGTTGGCAGACAAGGGGAGGAAATTGAAGCCCTTCAGGTAAAGTTGTCCTCCCGTCACCGCCCCCCCCCTGCTGTACCTCACAGCACCTCCGCTGTCTCTTCGGAATCAACCCTACCATCCCCTACCCCTAAGAGAAACGAGGCCTCTACGGAGGCTCCTACTGCTAAAGCCTCTTTTACAGAGGTAGTAAAACGAATGGTATATGTGCTCAAACCCCCTGCTGGCCCGCAGGAACGAGTACATCCTATGCGGCCCGCATCAGCAGCCTCCTCCCACCAGTCCAGCAGCAGTGGTAGCTCCTCCAGTGAAGGGGGGATAGTCTTGCGAGTAGTCTGCGGAGGTGAAGGCAAGTCTATTCACTGGGAAGAAGAGGGGGAGGAAGAAGATAAAAAGAAAGAACGAAGGAAATGTGGCAGACGCCTGAGTTGTGCTGCTAGAAGGAGAAGAAAGGCTGCCACAGGATCTGGTGAAGAAAGGGAAGCGGCGACCCCGGCCAAGACTCAGGGGAAGGTTGATAAACAGGAATCGGCTTCGAAGGATGCGACACCTGTTACTACGGCAGCTCAATCCGGGCCAGCAGCCCTGGCCAGTGTCAAAGTAGCCGTGGCTCAGACACGACAGGAATACCGACGGGTACCAATGGGGCCCCCAGACCCACTGAACTCGGTACCACCACCACCGCGCTCGTTGCCAACCCCAAATGCTAGAGGAAGGCAATCCGAAATCGGATTAACATGACCTTTTCCAATCAGGGAAAGATTCGGGGAAATGCTCCTTACATTCGCACAGGACACGTCTAGCCAGAAATTGGATGCATCTTCCTGACCTTGGCGGTACACTCCGTGATAGAGCTAGGCAACAGGTTGGACAAGGCCAGGCTCGATCTACTTAGGGAATTGTTACTCCTGGAGTTTAAATTTCAGAGGAATCTGGAAAAGGTGAAGGTTTTTGTGTCTGGTGTTCCGCTTGCTGACACAAGACGGGGATCGATTTGGAAGGTGGAAGGATGGACTAGAAGCGTGGCTTTTGATGGCCTTCGCACTGATCTGGAGCAATCCAATACTGGTGTAGTTACTATTTCCCGGCCAGACATTATGGGATCCATACACACCATGAGGCAGACCAATGCTACAAGTTGTGGCATCCAATTTGTGGTAGAAAACAATGAGGCCATTAAGGAAAGACTGGCGAAGGGAGAGATTTGGTTGCGAGGAGGTGCCCGCAATGTCAGGGTCTTTGAAGAGCATCGTCCTCTTAAGGTATATGGTAGGTGTCTGGAAACCGGCCACTTTGAAGCAACATGTGGTCGCCCCCCCTGGCGCCGATTCTACTTCAGAGAACATTTCTCTCGAGAGCACATGTGCAGCAAGTTGGCATGTCCTGGAGGAGTGGGTCAAGTCTGCAGACATACCCGGAGACAGTGTTGGTTGTGCGACTGGATGGACCACTTCACAGGATATGAGCGATGCCCAGGTATCAAATCGTCATCCTCAACTCCACCTTCCTCGCCTGCTGGGCAAGGAACAGTCACACTGACAAAACCTGCCAAGGAACCTGTTAGGAAACCGGAACAGCAGGGAAGGAGGACAGGAGGGAATGGAAGGAGAAGAAGCCGTAGCTGTGGGAGGTCCCCGACACCCAGGCTGGTCGAGATCAGCAGTGATGAGGAAGATGAGACTCCCCGCTGTAAGTCAGAAAAGGCCAAGGGTAAGGAACCAGAACGGCCTTCCCCCTCCCAGGCATGTGGGATCTTAAAAACCAGGGCTGACACCGCTACCAAACCCTGTGATGAGGAAACGAGTTGGGTTGCCCGGGATCCGGATACCAGCTCCACCTATGCCTCTGGGCCTTGCGGCCTGAGTGGATCAGTCGAGGCCCCCTTTTAATGCTTATTACAACATTGGCATTAAATGTGGGGAGGAGTAGTCGGAATCTAGCGCTGGCATTTGATTTGTTTTCTTTTGTTGATTTATTGTTTGTTATTGAACCACCCGTTGATCGGGAGGGACAACATGTACCAGTAGATGTTGATGGGTGGGATTTGTTTTCCTTTGTTGAAGGGTCAGGTGTTGAGGTATTTGTTCGGTCCCACATTTGTGGGCTGTTTGAGGTAGTGGGGCATGGTGAAGGCAGTACTCGGATTGGGTATTGGGAGAAAGGGGCAAAGAAGGTACTTGCTGGAGTTTACTTTCTACCCGGTTATACCAAAGACCAATTTGTCTAGTGGTTGGATGAGCTTGGGGAACCTGACATTGCATTTGGGGAATTCAATGCCAGGCACCAAGACTGGGACTCCAATGCGGATCATAACAATACAGGCAGATGGTGGCTGAAACAGTGGTTCACGGTCCTGGCTCGTGATATGAATATGGTACCGCTGACCGTGCCAACCTTTCAAGATATTTCCAGAA